GAGACTCAAAGATATGTGAAGAAATGACCTGTTCAGTTGCACTGAGTAAACGAATCCAGGAAATTCAGGGTCATGAGAAAGTCATTAGTCATGACCTTGAAGAGTTAATGTATCGGAAAAAAATCAGGAAGAGAGATTTTGTCTACAAAAGATTATTATTCAACATCATATTTGGATAAAAGACAAATATTAAAAGGTAAAACAGAAAGCCTTATCAGCACTTTCCTTATTAATGTACTTTGCATGGCCAACACAGTTATGGTTGTTTGGTAATGGTTGGTAATGATAATGGCTGTCCTGGCCACCAGAGTCTCTGTGGGACTCTGCATGTTCTGTGAGTAGTCATTAGTACCACGGCCTCTGGAAGTACACTAGGAAAGAAATGAGAACTCTATTTTATTTTACCATTTTTCATGAAATGCAACATCCAGATGGTAAATCCTTAAATCAGCTTGACTAAGCATTGGCTATTAAATACTGAGAGCCAAGGAATGGTGAAAAGGAAAAATGGTTGGAGATAAATATCATCAAGTCCTATTAAGGTGGCATCGAGATGGAATTTTCCAGTTAGAGCTAGATTTATATATGATTAATGGTCTAAATGTCGTAAATTCTCTGGTGTCGGGAAAATAAAATCAGAAATTAACTCATGCCTAAAATCTCACGCCGTCTTCGTTTCCCCGTCAGGTTAGGGTTTTGAACTCTAATAACTGCAAACAGTCACTGCAGATAACTCTCCCTGAAAGATGATGCCACGCAGTCACTGGTGCAAAGTTGCTTAAGGGAGACCCAGAGCAGGTGGCATGAGTGAGCCCAGGATGCACAGTCGCCTTTCAGGTCCACATGTGCTGATTTCCCTGGGGGGGGGGGGGTTGCCAGTTCATTGCACCAGCATGAATGAAAGTGTGAGACACGTTTGCCTAGGAGAGAGAGAGAGAGATCAGGATAGAGTTGGACCACACCAAAAGAAGTGTAGACCATCGCTGCACAAAATTATATGGAGAGCACAGAATATAAGGACAGGGATTTTGGAATTACATCCTCCTGGGCTCAAATCCTTCTTTCATTTACCATCTGTGGACACAAGATCGTAACTGTGCTGTGGCTTAGTCTCCTCAGCTGTCTCCTAGGGTTGTGGATAAGATTAGAGAAGATAATGAGTGTCGTGAGCAGAGTATAGGGTTTAGCTCTAACACAGGAAACATTTAGCTCCTAGCAGCTGTTATTAATTCTATTATTACCATCATCAGCTCCATTCCGTGATAGGAGTGTGGACTCTGAGCCTCTCTAGGTTCAAATCCTTTCTCCTTCACTTACTAACTCTGTAACCCTTGGCAGGATGTTTATCCTTGATGTGCCTTGATGTCTGCATCTGTAAAATGAGGCTAATATACCTACCTCATGGATTTGTTAGACGGATTCAGTGGTTTAATACGTATGGACATATTTGAACCATTAGATCCTGCAAATAAGAAGCTCTCAGTAGATGTTAGCTGATTTTCCGTCTGTATAACTTTAAATGGTGTGAAGGGACGCTGAACAGGAGAGCAGTGGCAATTTGAACGTAAGAGAGGGTGATTTAAGCGTGGACGTGTGGCTGCTTTTCTTTTTTGTGTGAATGTCCAAACTAACCTAAGGTACCTAAAGGTTTGGTTTGATTTTTTTCAGGCCTCTGTTATGCTTGGAGCAGTACTTACAGTCATAGACTCTCCAAGTAGGAGGGAACCCAGAGGTCATCCAGGGCCGTCTAAGACATGCACACTCTACAGCACCACCAATAACACAGCACACAGCCAGTGATGGGGAACACATCACTTCTCAAGGTGGCCCATCCAATTTTCAGACTGTCGTAGTTTATTCTTGTCTGGAGCTGAACTTTACTCTGATTACCTCCTACCCACTGGACAAGTTCTGCCCTGTAAAGCATCACAGATGAAATATAATTCCTCTTCCTTATGAAAATTATTCAAATATTTGCAAAGAGCATCCATCTCTACTCCTCTCCCCAGTAGGTCAGGCTGAGTTCCTCTTTTCTTGAAGCTAAGTTCCTTCCATTGTTGCTTGTATAACAGCAACATAGAGTCCTGCAGAATCAGTTAGAGTGGACTTCAAATTTCCATGCGCTGAACTTGGGTGGTTTATTAGAGCCCTCTGATACTTTACTGCTTCATGGGGGTGGGACTGGGAACACCTAACTTTAAAGGTTGCATTAGGGATTCAATGGATGAGCATATGCAGATCACCAGACCCAGCACAGGCACTCAATAATGACAAGTAACTGTCCTGATAACTATTGTTTTACAGAGAATGTTTCTCCTGCTATTCTGTGCTTTCTTTGATGAAAATGTTCAATGTGAAAACATGCGGAAGAGATTAAAATAATTACTTTCCCTTTTTTGTGCTATTCCTAGACTTGGTCTAATCTTAGATTTTAGGACTCTCATAGAGACATTTGAAGTCACTTATAAGTAATAAATGTGGTGAATGTTACAGAATGCTTATTATGTTTGTTCCCCGTGTTAACTACATTAGTTGCGCCACGTCCTGTCTCCGTTACAGTAATACTGTAAGGCAAAAGGGCACTGTTATGCCCGTTTTGTAGAAGAGCGAATTGAGATTTAGAGATCCTAAGAAACTTGTGCGCATAGCTAGTAAGTGGCACAACTAAGATTATAATCCAAATCTGTCTGATTTTCTGTTAGACCCCCTAGGTTACCTTTCCCTCACTTGTGGGATGAGTTGATTAATATTCACAACAGCAAATGCCCAATTTGCTACCATAGAAACAGACAGAGCAACTAGGATAATAAACCAAAACTCCATTCAAAACATCTTCAGTCAAATTAGGAGATACAGGATCCCCACAAACCGAATCATGTAACTGGGAAAATAATGACAATGCTGGAGAGGGAGGAAGTAGATGGAAGGAATGAAGTCTGATGGACCTGAAAACAGGAGGACTCCCAAACTGCCAAAAATTACTCACTGAAAGAGTGACGGGCCAATTAGAGAAGAGCAGCCGCAACCTGGTGGGGTGGGGTGGGGGTGGATCGTAAAGTCCTGCATCTTGAGCGAGCTCAGGAGCTCCACCGTCAAGAGTGCAGTTCCTGGAACAATTAGGGGTCCTATGAATTTTCAAAATTAATCAGCTGAAGCTGTCTTCTAGGACAAAGTCCCATTCTGATGGGAAACTTCTGGGCATAGCATCCAAATGGAAAAGGACAATGTATGTCAATGGGACTAAAGGAAAGAGAAGTTCCAGGTTAAACAAATGGGTGAGTGGGTAGGAAAGCCAGGAGATCTCAAGACATATGTGGCCATTTTTAAATTTACTTTACAAAATCACAGAAGAGTAGGCTCCAGAGCTGGAGGGTCCAAATGGCTCCATTCACGTTGGCGCTTGCTGTCTGCAGGGGGCTTAGCTGAGACTCTCACTAGGGGTCATGATTCTTCTCCACATGGGTCTATCATCAAGGCTTCTTGGGCTTCCTCAAGCCTGATGTCTGGGTTCCAAGAAGATTCAAGAAGAAGAAAGCAGAAAGCAGAAGCTGGCAGTTCTCTGAAGTCCTGGACTCAGAAATCCCAGGAAATCACCTCTGCTACATTCTACTGGTCAAAGCAGGCACAAGGCCAACCCAGATTCAAGATGTAGGGAGACTAGCTCCATCTCTAAGGCGGAGAGTGGCACACACGTCAAGGAAGAAAAGGACAGGTGGAGGTCGTTGGCGACTGCCTACCATATATGCTGATATTAAAAGTGCAAAGAATGAAACTAAAAGTGAATCCAGTTACTGATATAACTACACTGAGAGAAACTATTCTAACTGACTTTAAAATATGAGATAGACTATCCATCTTTAGTAAGTATATTCTAAGGACAAAAATAAATGAAAAATAAAATATCTATCTTAAAACGATTTTATAAATCACATTATTTATGCTAGTGTCAATATTGACATTCTGACGCTTTTTGTGTGTAAGCTGGAAGAGAAAGAGAAATTATGTGATATTGTAAATCTATCATTCTTTATGTTGTTGAGAATTGGGATTCTTGTCATGGGAGAAAATGTGACAGGAACTAAATGATTGCATGGTTGATGTAGTGAAGTTTACTTTCTTGTTGAATGTATTAAACGTATGTATTTATCTCTCTATACAGCAAATTTATATATGTAGGTCAAGATTTTCTCCAGGTCCACCAATTTATGAGCATAAATGGAATCACAGAATACCAACACTTTTTCTTGCTTATGCTTTACCACCTCAGCATGTCTAAAATCCTGCCCAGGGTTTATTTATGTAAGGCCACTGGGATCTGTCTCATTTATGCTCATGCTTCCTTCTCCTCTTCTTCTTCTTTTTTTTTTTTTGGTGAGGAAGATTGGCCCTGACCTAACATCTGTTCCCAATCTTCCCCTTCTATTTTTTTTTGTTCCTAAAGCCCCAGTATATAGTTGTATGTCCTAGTCGTAAGTCCTTTTAGTTCTTCTATGTGGGATGCCACCACAGCATGGCTTGATGAGTGGTGTGTAGGTCTGTGCCTAGGATCTGATTTGGCGAACCCTGGGCTGCCAAAGTGGAGCGAGTGAACCTGACCTCTAAGCCACTGGGCCAGCTCCACCTTCTCTGCTTCTGTTGCAGATTTTTTTTTTCATGGCATCCTGCTGAGACCGCTGAATCTAATTGCTAATCTGATCTGACTAACCACTTTGCTCCTGATGGGTACTTCCGGTGAGATCTGGCATCATAAATTCTAACAGAAACCACCACCGTTGCCAGAGGATATTATTTCGTTTAAGTTTAAGCTTGATGTTCCGAGGGTTAAGCGTGGGAGAATCTTTCTTCTTTATGTTTATCTTGCACTATATGGGGGTTTGGGCTAATGTCCGTGTGTGGGAGGAGTGTTGCTCAAAAGCTATGCTGCTTGTCCCTCCATGTTTTATAAAGGTTCTAATGAAACAACACCCCTTGAATTAGTTTATATCCACTTTTCTCCGTAGAACTCAGACAGGAATCTGCACGAATCTGCAGGACTTGGGCCAGAAGAAAAATCTAAGTGACCCACATTGTGTTGCACGGAGAATCACCCATCTCCTGTGTCTAAGGCCTTGTCCTGGACAAGAATGGGCTGAATTTACCCTCTTTCATCAGTGATGGACTCTCCTCTGTGGAGCTCTTCATACACATAAAATGCACGCTGCCCTGCTCCACAGCTCACCAACGCAAGCCTTTTTCCCAGCTGTGGACACAACTGAAGCTTAAAGTCGAGGTAATAGTTTCTATTGTATACATTAGAAGTCTTGTAGAATGTGCCAATTTACTAACACATCAAATATTATTACTTAGTTTTTGATCCTTTGAAAACCACAGGAAGTGGGTGCAAGGTAATAAATACAAGCTGGGACGTCAGCTTTTTCAGCAACTGTTAATAAGTCCCAGAATGTATCCCCTTATCCTTTCCCCTGTGATAATAATTTTAAAGTTTACCACAAATTAGCTTGAATGCAGACTTTTAAAACATGTACTTTTCTCCATTTTAACTCAGTGCACTTTAGATGGAAAGCTCTGAAATGAGCTTTCATTAAATTCACTTTAAACAGTTTGTATTCTTAAGAGTTAAATCTTAAATGAAGAAAGCTACACTTTTAGGAAAACAAATTTAAAATCTCTCCTCCCCATGTCAGTGTTTTCTCACTGAAAATAATGTTTTACAGTAGTTTTTAAATGGCTTTCTTGTTTATGTCTTAGTGGATTAAAATTTGGGTCATCCCTTGGACTTAATTTCAAAAGAGATTGTCATTGAGAGTTTGTGTTCTTCATTTCCGAAAGCCTTTCCCCAATAGTACATTGGAGACAACAATACAGCCAATATGGCCAGGTTCTCAGGGATCTAACGAGTTATCAAGACAAAGCCAGTAATTTTATACAGCACATTCCTTGTTCCTTTTCTTCATGTGACATACACACACACATCAGTATGACATTATGCATTTCAAGTATTGATCTACATAGATTTAAATGAGACATGGAAAGGATTATAATTTACTACCTTTAGGAATCAGTTCAAATCAATATATTTACAGCTAGAGTTAATAAGTCTAATTACATGTTATATAGCACAAGAGCAAATTTTGTATTTGAATACATTGTTACTTTCAGTAGGAAGCTCCAGAAAAGGAAATTTTCTAATGAAATAGTCTCCATATTATTCGCATTTAGTCAAAATATGAACATGAGTCATTGATTCTGTTTGGAAATCTCCCTAAAAGATACTCACAGGGTTCTGGGTCATAGGATTTAAAACTGCATTACTCAAGAAGCCAGCTTCCTATAAACGTTATACGCTTCATCGTTATTTAGAGAAATTTCTATTTTGACATATTACATATGCTTAAGCTTATTGTATCTTGTGAAAACATTACCCATGGATTCCATACCACGTGATTAAATTCAAGATTCTAAATGAACGCAGTATCCTGCATGAGTAAATACAGTGAGACTGTGACTCAAGAGCCCGTTCTAAAACTCATTGTCACATCGCCCCTGAGTTGTCTTCCTTAGAACTGTGTTGTAAGACAACACTGGGGTGAAATGATATGACAAATTATGAAGTAAACATCCTTATATAGAATCTAAAAATGGCCCTGAAGTGTATGAACTTCCATGCAGTTCTGGTCTACTGCTTGGGGACCAAGAGTGTGGTTTCTGAAGTCTGTCCCTGTCCCTTATTGGCTGTAGGACCTTCGGCAAGGCATTAACTCTCCATGCTTTGCTTTCTTCATCTGTAACCTTCATGGGGTTTGGTGAGAGTTGAAGAAATTAAAATATATAACATGCTAGAGCAACTGTGGCTGGTACACTTTAAGTGCTACCTAAGTGTTTGCTATTACCATTATTGTCTTGATGGCTTAGGATGGGATTTGGTGCCTGAATTATCCCATTTCTTTTCCTCTAGGCTCCAACGAATCTAGTATTCCCACAGGAATCCACAGCAAATGGGGATGGAAGCACTTGCGTGGTTACTGGTAAGCCTGGATCTGAATGTGAGCTTGAACTCAAGACCAAAGTGGGGTTTCCGCACTAATTTGGACATACGAATCTAGTCAGAGATATGACAACTGGGAACCTAACCCTTCTTCCGCATTATACATTCTTCTACATTCTTCCACATTATAAGGACATAAAAAAGAACCCCTTTCACGTGATGGTAGACAGCTCTGGGGGAAAAAATATGTATTTTTATATAAATGCACATTTGTAAATGTTATTTTATATCCTGACATATTCAACGCTTATAGTTAATCGCTCTTGTTCATAGTTAGCTGACTAAATATGTGGCCTGTTGATGACACTCAACAGCAGAGAGGCGCTAGACAGAAGTGAGAAGAAGCTATGCGGGGCTCAAAATTACCATCTTAGCACGTAAACACTGAAGTGTTTGTGGAAGTGGTCTAACTACTTGAATTCTCATCACTCTTGTGTTTTGTCCAGTGTGCCTTACTCCACTGCCTTCCTTCCTGTGAGATAATAGCGAGTAGACACATTCACGCACTGCATAATGATGTTTGGTCAATGACAGACAGCATATATGAAGGTGGTCCTGTAAGATGGCCTGTAATATGGCCTATGTGTGTAGTAGGCTATACCATCTAGGTTTGTGTAAGTGCACTCTATCACGTTCGCACAATGACAAAATCACCTGACGACAAATTTCTCAGAATGTATCCCCATTGTTAAGCTATGCATGACTCATATGTTGGTCTTTGATCCCATCTCTCATATGGGGCTTCAAAAACTCTTGTAAATTCCCAAGTGATAAGAATGGTAGGAGCATCTTATGTTCTAATGAAGTGACTCTGGGTGGGCTCCTGGGATCCTGGACTCCTGGATGGGGGCTGGTCACCAGAAGGACCACACCATGATTAGAAGCTTGAAATTTTCAGGCCTGCCCCCTACTTCTCTAGAGAGGGCAGAAGGGCTGGAAATGGAGTTATAATTGATCGTTCCTATATGAGGAAGCCTCCATAAAAATCCCAAAAGTATGGCGATAATAGAGCTTCCAGATTGGTGAACACATCCATGTACTGGGAGGATAACACACCCCACCTCGTAGAGGCAGGAGCTTCTGTGCTCAGGACCCTCCCAGACCTCACCCTTTGTTTCTCTTCACCTGGCTGTTCATCTGTACCCTTTATCATATCATTTGATAAACTGATAAATGTAAGTATGCGTTTCCCCGAGTTCTACAAGCCACTCTAACAAACTAATCAGACCAGATGAGGGAGTCCTGAGAAGCTGCAATTTGTAGCCAAGTCAGACAGACGTTGTGGGTAACCTGGGGACCTACTACTTTCAATGGGCAGCTGAAGTGGGACAATGTCTCATGAGTCTCATAAGACTGACCTCTTAATCTGTGGGCTCTGATGCTCTCTCCAGGTAGATAGTGTCAGAATGGAGTTAAATTTGTAGGACACTCAGCTGATATTGCAGAGAACTGCTTGATGGGGAAAATTCTCCAGGAGAATGGAGGTTTTCCCTACACACTTCCCTTCCTTTTACAATAGATAAGAATGTTTTAAATCTTTATCATAAAAAACTGAGAAGTATATCTGTAAGATGGGAGAAACTTCAATTTCCTTTGGATTTGAAATAAGAATTTCTTTTATGGACAATCCTACATTTGTTGAAGAAAATTCTTTGGTAAGACCACTGGGGCATTCAAATATTTTCAGTGCCCAAGTCTCAAAGTGGGGCAAAATTACCTTTTATGAGGCAGAGTGGGGACCTAGGCTGAGGGAAGGCTGATAGACAGCAAAAGGCAAGACAATGGGTGGTGAGTGACATTTGCTTTCAGTAAAATTATTGCGTTTCTTTTAACTGCCTTCTGTTGGAAATCATTGCAGAGGCTAAATTTAAAACCAAAGCTGACACAAGGGAAAAGAGAGGAAACATGAACGAATGCAGAAGCTAAAGTCAAAAGATGGTCAAGATGAAATCAGGCCTTAGGAATTTTTAGAAACTGTGAGTGAGCATTTAAACTATTTAGGGTGTAGAGTTATATAATCTAGTTAAGCATATTTACTTCTGTTTCTAGCAATGGTGTAGTAACTCCTGGGGAACCTCACTTCCTGAAAGTAACATCTGTAACCTCCAGCAATGAATAAACAACCAGCCAGAGGAAGGCACTAAAGAGTGAGCAGAAGGAGGCAGACACGGGGAGGGCGTCAGTAATGGAAGAAGTAAAAGGAGCTAAGTGGCACTCCCATTTATGTTGTTAACAACTTTTAGTCTAGGCAAAGGTCCTCATCAGCCTATGTAGTGTTGCTAAAATTCAGACAGAAACCTGTACTCTATCTGGCACGAGAAAGCAAAGGACAAATTCAAGGTGTACTCAGCAGCTCAAAAGTAAAGGGAGATCCTTGAGAGGAGAGACTTAGAAAGGGAACCCTACATCTTGTATACAAACTCTGCTCAAGTGTCTAGCTGACCTCTGAACTATGGATGTGATGGGTAGATTCTAAGCAGCCCAACTAAGGCTAAAATAACTGAACTGAGATTGCAGAGTTTGGAGTTTGAGTTCAGCCATGAAACAAAATATCAGGACTCTTCGATGGAGCAGAACAGAATCCAGTCTCCACAACATGTTATTCATCAAGTCCAGAATACAATCCAAATTTATGAGATATGAAGAAACGGGAAGTTGTGACCCATCCTTAAGAGAAAAGGCAGTCAATGGAGACCAACTTTGAAATGACCCAGATTTGGAACTAGCAGACACAGATTTTTAAGCATCCATTAAAACTATGCTCAAAAGTATAGAGGATAATACAAGGGACAGGGCAATGGCTGGCGCCTGTATTTGTGTATATACGCTCTATTCGTCCTGTAAAATAGTATTACTTACAGAAGCGGTGATGACAAAAACAGCTTGATCATGCACACGAAAAAGGAGCATTGAATTCTAATTTGTTCTCTAAGATATTCATGCATAACAAACAATCATTTAAAATGTACCTTGCTAGGCGCTATGAAGACAGTAAAAAATTAGATATGATTTTTCCATTTGCAGAACTTAGAGTTGACTTGAAGGTAAACAAGTGTAATATAGGGTAAAAAAAAAAATACATTTCATAAAAATCGTACTTAAAAGCAGTCTGAAATCCCAGAGGCAGACGGATTTATGTCCAGATTTTTGGAGGAGAAGATCTAAAGGATGACGTTAAGAAAGAGTGACAGATGAGATGGGCCTTAAAAGATGCTTAGGATTTTTCTATGTGGGCATGGTGGAACAGGCGTGAGCATCCAGGTGTACACAGTGAAGAGAGTTCTGAATATAATGAAGTGAAGTAGCTACCTTTGGCTGGAGGGTATAGTTTATGACAACAATGTGAGAATGCATGACGAGTAGGTGGATTCGGATGGCAAAATATTGGACCAAATAGTTTAGACGTGATTCTCAAGACACTAGGGAGCCAGTGAAAAGACACGATACAAAAGCCCAGCAGTTTTTCCTTTGAAAATCACAAACCCAGAAAGGATTTCCATTATTTATTGTCCGTGATTCTTAGCCATCTAAAAAGCAGATGAAATGGCTCTTATAATTTTAGTACAGGTCTGTTAAGGATTAAGTTACCACATGACAGATTAGAGCAAGAAAAGAACTAAGAAATGTGCTATGAAATTATTTAAGATTTTGGTTACAGGGTCTATGTAAGAGTATATGGTTTTACAAAATGTTTCACCATGCTATTAGAAAGAGTCCACCACTGCCACTCCTTAAATTGTATGTTGATAAGTTTGCAGAAACAATCAAATACTCCTTTCCTAAGGCCCTTTGGGGGCCTTTTCTGAGGAGGAAATTCAGGAGATTCTGTTTTCAGTTTATTATCAGGCAGTTATAAAATTACATTGAGATTTTTAAAATATTGATTATAAAGACAAGGCATGAAAAAAATATCTTAAAGCCTAATGCTGGCAAGAAAATAAGTCCTTTGTGAATAATGTGTTTTTACAATATTTCAGTTGCTCGCACTGTAGAAGCATTAACTGGGAATATTTTGAGTTTTGGCAATATCAGAATATGATATCACCAGAACAGGAATATTATCTCAGACGGGAAGGACAATGGACTTCCATGTCTTTGCGCATGTTTGTTTTATCTTTCATGTTACAGATAATGACCTCAAGAAAAGGAGCGTAGACAAGTGGCCACAGACCCATTTTATTGCATATAGTAAGTGAATTATTATATGATAGTCATTTGACGTTAAAAAGCTAATGCTGCACTTGGTTTTTGTTTTCCTTAGTTTGGTTTGTGGCATAGAATGGTGTCTAACTAACCCTCCTCTGATAATCTACATTTATATGCACATAAATATTCCTTGTGTTCCACAGTTTCATGAAGTGCATCTTGTTTAGAACATTTCCTTCAATGGTCATATATAGTGTTCAATGAAAACGAGCTTCACTCCAGATGCGAGTCACTCTCTCTAAGACAAATTTGTCCTTGTAAAGTATCTATTGCTCACTAGAAAAACTGTGTATGGGGGAGAAACTGTGTGTGACTTCCTTCCAAAAGGGAAAATCAACCCAACAAATTTTGCTATTACATTTCATTTCCTTTTGTTTGCTGTTTCGATGATATTTATATATTTTAAAGTTTACTATGTAGTCAAGAGCAGGAAGGCCAAGGAACTTAATATATTTCCATGCACCAAAAATAAAATTGTGATAATAAAGCGCTAGATGGTACAATCATCATAAAAACAACATACTCATTTTGTTTTGCTTTGTTTTGTCTTGCTTTGGGCTTCCTCATAGACACTTTGTGTTCTGTAACTCTGAGGGTTTTGTAACTCTCCTTCGTATCTCTGTCTAGTATTTTCATAAAATCCTTTACACTTAAACCCCTCAGAGCCAAGCTCAGACATGCCTCTCTGTTGAATTCTCTCTTTAGGGTCTATTTGACATGATTCTTTGCACTAAAAACAAAAAAAGGACTTATAATTAAAACTGGACCCGAATTCATGATCAATATAAAGAAATATCTTACAAGCATCCTTGAACTCATTATATTCTTTCTTGCTTGTTGCTGTTACCGTTTGCTTTAAACTTGCTCAAGAGCACAGCTGCTAACAACAACATTTAATCATGCATGTTAATCTTCTGTTACTCAGTTCTCACGTAAACTTACAGGATCGTATGCATAAGAACAACATACAGAATGTTGCCAATGCAATTTTTTTTACAATCTGGATTAAATGCAGACAACTTTCTGTTTTATTAATCTTCCAGTCCTTTTACACCGATTGACCATGTCCTTACAACACCTAAGATTTTGGACTTAAATGCTCAAACGTTAGACAGTGCTAGTCCAACTCCTTTCAAATCTTAGGTGAAGAAACCAGTGAAGACTTCCCATCCTCTTCTTTTCACATACGCTGGGTACAACATGTCTTTAAAACAGGAGCAATGAAGTGGCCCTCTCTGGTTTATGTCTATGCGTTGAATCAAATTCTAGCTGGCTTATAGCTGCATGTGTATAACACTCTGTTACACGAGCACCTCCCGTTTCCCTGAATGAAAACATCAGCCTGTTAGCTCATCTTCTAAAGGATGTAAGGGATTTGAAGAGGTGCCTCAGTTTACTCATCAGCATCTCCCTGAAGTGATCTCCCATGAGGAAATAGAAGACAGGGTTGATTACACTGTTCAGAAAGGCCACAGGCCGGGTCACAATGTAGAAGGTGCTGATGATGGCCTGGGTGCACTGGTGCTGCGTCCAGTTCCCCAGGCGGGAAGCGATCCTCACGTTCCGCATGATGTGGTAGGGCGTGAAGAGCACAGAGAAGATCACAACTGCCATGATGATGAGGTGGAGAGGCTTCTCTAAGGGCAAAGAAGTCGCCACCTGCCTGCTCCTCTGCTTCAGGAAAAGAGCAATCTTGAAATAGAAGAAGCACATCACTAAAAGGGGGATGAGGAACCCTAAGAAGGTTAGACACAGGCTGTAATTGAGGTTGTCTCTGGGGTTCCCAGAACTTGCATAATCATTGCACTTGGTGTCGTTGTCATCTGTGACAGGGTTTATCAGAGAAAGCATAGGCAATAGCTCTAAGGTTACCAAAATCCAGATGGCCAAAGAGGTTAAGACAGCAAACTCTTTCTTTTGCAGAAAGTGTTCCCGGAAGGGATACTTCATGAGCAGGTACCGATCGATGCTGATGAACGTGAGGAACAGAATGCTGGAATAGAGGTTGGCGTAAAGCACATACCGGTTGATCACGCAGAGCACGTCCGCGTACATCCATTTCCCGTGGGCGTAACTTCTCATCAGCATGGGAAGGGTGCACAAAAAAGCCAGGTCAGAGATGGAGAGGTTAAAGAGATAGATGTTACTGCTGTTCCAGTTCTTCAGACAGAAGAGGTAGCCGAAAACAACAGTAGTATTCCCGAGGAGCCCCACAATGAACTCAACCCCGTAAAAAATGGGAAGGTAGTACTTCTCCAGGGCAGCCTCTGCAGCCAGCCAGTTCGTGCAAGTTGTATTCAGTGCCTAAAGGAGAGAGAAAATACAAGGATGAAACAGCAGACTGTGACTAAAGAGAAAACCGTGCTTGGCATAATAATAAAAAAAACCCCTGCAAAGTTGAACTATGGAGAGCAGGTTACATTAGCAAGGAGTGCATATATATATATAGACATATAAGTATACGCATATATGTCACTAATATATTATTTCAACAAATATTTATTGAGTACCTTTGAACTGCATGCTAGGCGCTGGGAGTAACAGCAGAGAGGAAAGTGAAGTTCCTAATCTCAAATGGTTTATCCTCTCTTGGGAAGAATAAAAAAATACATACATGTATAATGATAAAGAGAGTTCCAGAGAGAAAGAAAGGCACGTGCAAAGGCCCTGAGGTGGAAACACACATAGAGGACTTGACAAACAGCAAAGAGGTTAAGGAAGAGTGCAGTGAAGTAAGGGATGAGGAGAGTCTAATTCATTTCTGTGTCTCCAGGACGTACCATGGTCGCCAGCGAATCAGAGTTGTTTGACAAATTCTGCTGAGTTAAACTGAATGGAACCATAATCTACAAGAGGAAACAGGGATTTTTATAACTCCAGTCTTCCCATTTTAATAGCTTTTATTTTGTTCCATATTGTCAAAGAATTGTGCTTATTTTATTAAATTTTTTAAATGGAATTCCAGTTTTAAAACATGATTTTTTACAATTTAAAATATGAAGTTGAAAACTCTTAGAAATCATAACAGCAGCCACTATTTACTGAAAGCTTATAGTGAACCAGGCACTATGCTCACCACTTTCCAAGGATTATCTCATTTAATACTCACAGCGACATAATGAAGTGGGAATTGCTGCTACTTTCACTTTACGCATGAAGGCACTGAGTTTTGGAAAACTAAATATCTTCCTGAGGTCAGACATCTAGAAAAAAGCCTTCCATCATAGCACCTTCCAAATAGGGGCTGTGAAAATAGGCAATCTGATTCATTCAAACCTCACGTCTTGCTCACCTGTCATCTTCTCTCTTGTAATGAGGCCAGATTGTTTGTGTTTACATAGGGCATTTAAAGAACTTGAATTTTTAAAAAATGTACTAGATTGTCATTGTTAAGTGTTAAATCCTACTTACTTGTAGTGAGAAAAAAGCAAAGCTGAAAATAAAATTTTATAAAAATATCTTTGGCGAATAGCATTCTGAGTGTTAGTTGCAGTCAAATGATTCTTTCAATATTGTGTTTTGGTAAATAGAGCAAAATATGAACAATGCACCGGAGCTGCTTTCTCTGGGAAGTGTGTGGATATTGAGCAGAATCTGGGGTGCTGAAGGCATCTGGAAAACTCATAGCTACTTTTGTCCAATTTAAGTGGTTTCTTCAGTTAAAGATTGCTGGTATATTGAGAGTGTTTTCTTTACAAAAATAATTCATGGAATTGTAGATACGATGAATTCAATATTTGATATTAATTTTAATCACTTAATTTAAAACATCCTAAATTGCTCTGAGCCTCTCCTCAAGTCTTGCCACGGCACCCTGCCACTAAGTCCAGTTGTAGACACAGCCGGACAGAAACCTCCTCAGGCAGTGGACACATGAAGGCTGCTGACGAACCAAGCAGACACCTCTGAGGTTGTCTAGTCGAACTGCTGTCTCACATCCCCAGCCATTTATTAGCTTTCTCAATTTCATGTCTTTTGCAATTTTTTCAGATCTCTTCCGCCTACTCCACCCTATGCATCTGCAGCAGATAGTTTTGCCTTCAAGCTCCCTGAGATGGTGCCCGTTTGTTGGGTGTCCACTCTCCGGTTCCTGCCTCTGTACCTATCCTCTCCTCCACCCTTCTCATGATGACAGAGAATGTCTCTTCCTCTGGGCTTACTCCAGATCCAATTCATTCTCAAATTCTCAAGATTCCTATGTTATCTATCTTCTCTCTTTCCTGTCTCTTCGGCCTTCTTCTCCATCTCAACCGCATCCTTTTCACTAGCGTTTAAATACTCTGGTCTCATCAGTCTTGAGAAAAAGAAGACATAGACAGCTATTCCTAACACTCTTCGCACACGTTTCTCTCCTCATCATAGCTCAATTTACAAAAGAGCTGTCTTCACTGACAATCTGACCTCCCATCCCTTTTCCCCCTGCTCCGGTTTGTCTTCTGACATACCCCTCACCAAAATAGCCTCAGATTGCTCAGTTCGATGGTCATTTCTCTCTCCTCTCCTTCCTGGACTTCTCAGCTGTTTTTCTCACCATCCCTTCTGGACACACCCCCTGCCTTTGCCTTCCCTAACATGGCCATCTGCTGCTTTCCTTCTTCCTCTCTGCTTGTTCTTGGCAGACTCTTTGTGGCCTAAGCCTTCTTGGCCTAAGTGTTAAATGTTGAGTTCCTCAGGGCTCAGTACTAAGCTCCTTCTTCATCTAGACTCGGCCTGGATGATCTCATCTACTTTCTAGTTTTAATGACCATATATGTCAACAACTCTCAGATTTATATCCCAGCCTGGGTCTGTCTTTTAAACTCTAGATTTTTATACTCATGACTGCTGATTGACCTCTTCCTGGCACTTCTGCCTCCAGGAATCCGACACTAAACTTTCTGACTTCCTTCTTGATCCTGCTGCGCCCCCACCTAAGTCAGTCGATGGCCAACCATTTACCCAGGTGCTCACCTCAGAGATCTAAGCAACATCCTCAACGTCATCTCTAGCTTACCTCCAATAACGAATGAACTACCAAGGCCTGTTGGCTAGAATGGCTGCATACTTCTCAAATCCGTCACTCTTGCTCCGTCGCCTTCACCACCGTTCTAGTCCAGGCCACCAACCTCTTTATCTTGGACTACATCACATCCTCTTATGGTCTCCTCACAACTTCTTTGGCCCCCTTTCAATCTACCTTTGACACGATAGCTAAACAATCTTGAAAAACTGCGACCAAAATTCTGATCATCTTACTCTCTCAACCTAAAGACTTAAATGACTTTCCACTGTCAAGGGCATAACGTATGAAATCCTTGATGGGGCCTTCAAGGCCTTCATGATCTGGGTCCTGTGCTCCACATCCACCTCCCCTGGCATTACTCTCCTCCTTGCTCATCTTTCTTCATGTTCTTTGAACGCACAGAGACCTTTCCTGATGTTCAGTTCACTGAATCTCTTCTCACTGACCTTTCCCCCTGTGATCCTTGCCCCATAACATACTGTCTCAAACAATACTTCTTTCAGAACTCAGTTAAAGCGTAGGTCTCCCAAGATAGGCTCTCTGACACATTCAGTCTAAAGTAGGTCCCCCCATTTTATGCTCTCATTGCAGACAGAGCTTGTTAGCATTTCTAACAACTTTATCTTACTCGTAGTTTATCTTCTACATCTGGCACAGTGACTACCGGATAGTAGATGGTCTGTAAATGCCTGCTGAGCGGAGAGATGAACAGAAACCCTTGACTGTTTATGAAACATTTTTATAAATATTTCCTCCAAGGTCAGATAAATAGTAAGTCCAGCAAATTAAGCCCATTGCTGTATTTCACTATAAAAGCTGACACTAAATACAATATGACTAATATTCAAAATCGACAACTGCAGCAGTGGTAGCTGTGATTTACACACACATTTGTAGAAGGTAAAATTTAGTATGTATCTTCTAGGATTAATTTTAAAAATTAAGGTTAATTTAACTGCTGGCCCAGTGGCATAGTGGTTATGTTTGTGCATTCTGCTTTGGCAGCCCGGGGTCCAGATCTCAGATGTGGACTATACACTGCTCATCAAGCCATGGTGTGGTGGCATCCCACATACAAAAAAGAGAGGAAGATTGGCACAGATGTTAGCTCGGGGACAATCTTCCTCAAGCAAAAAGAGGAAGATTGGTGACAGATGTTGGCTCAGGGACAATCTTTCTCACCACCACCACCCACCAAAATTAGAAATCTACATCTGAAATTAGTAAACATCAGAGAGTCTAGGACATGTACCAAAGTACTAATAGTTTTATCCCTAGTGATGAGATTCCAGATAATTTTTATTATCTCCTTTCTTCTTTCAGTTTATCTGGACCTTCTATTTTTTTTTTCCCCCAAGTCAGCATGTATTTGATAATATTAAAAAATTTAAAATTCCTAGAAATACAGCAAAAAGTTCAATGGTCTTTTTTTTAAAAAGTGGACTTTTGGGGCCAGCCCAGTGGCACAGTGGTTAAGTTTGTGTGCTCTGCTTCAGCAGCCCAGGGTTCCCAGGTTCTGATCCCAGGAGCAGACCTATACACCACTCACCAAGCCATGCTGTGGTGGCATCCCACATACAAAGGAGAGGAAGATTGACAAGGATTCCAGCTCAGGGGCCATCTTCCTCAAGCAAAAAGAGGAGGATTGGCAACACATGTGAGCTCAAGGCCAACCTTCCTCACACACACAAAAAAATGGGCTTTATTTTTTAGATCAATAATTTTCACTATTATTTTTAACTCTTCTCCCAGCTGCTTTCAATTCTGCGACGTCCAGAAGCACTGTCTTCCTTGTCTCCTATGACACGGCAATCACCTTCTTGTCCTCCTTCTCTCTTTGCAGTCTCTTTTGTGGTCTAATCCTTCTTTGTCCCAGCTTTAAATGTTGGAGTCTCTCAAGGCTTAGTTCTGGGCAAATTTGTTATTTTGGGAATACTCAAAAAGCTGGTGCACACACTCAGGTGCATATTAAGGCAATAGAATGTTTCCTTTAGGCAAGAAATTCATTTGTTTCATTTTTGAATTTCCTCTTTTTCTATTCATAACTCTTATCTTTCTGCCTGCTTGGTTCTTAAATGTACTGACTTATGTCAGTAGCTTATGCACAGCAGAAAGCTTTCACCACCATGGGAGGAAAATATAGCTGTGAAGACTTGTATCCCTAGGAGCAGATTACCAATAACTACACTCAGGTGAGTTAGGGGCTGTGTTGGAGCCACAGAGAGCTCTGCTGTTTCTGAGTCATCCACTGGCATTGACAGTGAGGGAGTTGGTCAGCACAGAGAATGAAGGACTGGAACAAGGAAAACGAATGCCTAGTAACCGCTGTCCTGCTTCTCAGAGTGATTTCTGCCTTCATTTTTTAAAAAATAGCTTTTTAAAATGCATGTTATTATGTAACGCCCTCTCAGAAAATGCAGATAGGCAAAAAGAAGAATGCAAAATCGTCTGTAAACCTACCACTCCTAATATTTGGATCCCCTCCTACAGTTTAATATTTATTTGAATTTATTTTTACAAAAATATTAAGTTTTATAATCTGTTTTTTGGGTGCATTTATTTCATTCTTAAAATAATTTTCCTAAGTCCATAATACTTACAAATTGTTTGGGTTTATAAATATAAGGCTGTCTAATATTTGCAGGCCAATTTAACTGCCCAAGACCCACAGTTTTTAGAGTATTAAATTCTAAATTGGATGATGTTTATGTGGGTGTGTTTTTAGAGCAGCCATCACAATTCTCCACTCCATTAATGAAGTGAGCTGATCCCTTACACAAAGTCCCCAACTGAAGGGATATTCCCTCGTGAAATTAATATTATCTCTTCTGCTTTCTAGTGGTTCAATTTTAGTTTTTAGGAAATAGAAATTATGATAAATAGGTTATACGTGATGCAGATGAATTATTTTTAACAGTTTTTTTTTAGGTATTGGCAATTAAAGTAAAACCTTTAATTATACATCCAAAAATATATTTAAACACATTAGAGTTACTAAGCCACAAACAGTATTTAATTTACTCACATAAGCAGATCAGTAGTACTCATTTTTAATTTGAGAATAATATTTCTTTCACTTTAATTGTTTTCATCCTTTTTAAAATGTACATTTTTGAAACAAAAAATATCTGATATTTTATTAGCTTTTAAACTGTTTTTTCTTATAATCATCACAATTAATCAAAAAACACTTATGAAATTTTAATTCTTAACTGCTTCCTTAAGGCAAATTTACATGATAATAAGAGTTTTTTTTTTAACAAATTTAGTTTTTCATTCATAATTTGAATAAAAAATATATTCACATTGAAAAGATACAATAATTTAATGTTGATGACTTCATTGTTTACATATTCCAGAAATTACACCAGAAGTCAAGGTATTAAAAAGTGATATTGTGGTATCAAATTATGTGTTTATGAATTTCTTTGAAATACTTCACTAATTATAAAAAGTTCTAGAAGTCATAATAGCAATGGTTTCTGCAATTTTCCGTTTTTTCTTAGTGAGTTATATTCTTGAATAACATAATTTTTACAAACATAAATGCTGAATTTCATCTTTAGAATGACTTAAAATTCCCTCTAACATTGTATTTTATAAACGAAAATATTATATATGTATAATAATATATAATAATTTATAAAATAATTATAAAATAACATAAAATAATATATAAAATAATATATATAAATAATATATATTATAGATTATTTCATATGATTTAGAAACTTTAATTTTTCTCCGTAAATAGTTATATTTATTTAAACAAATCCAATTACTCTTTTTGTTGAAATATAAATAACTAAAACATTAGCAAATATAGCAAACCTCTTTAAATAAAATAAATTTAGTATTTGGCAATTAAGACACTAAATTTGGTAAAAAATAAGCGCAGAGGAAAAAAATTGATTTCCTGTTAGTTTCTTTGGCTGTTCTACATGGACTTATGAACAACAGTTCAGACAGTTTATTTAAACATTACTTAAAACCTGAACCGCTCACAGGCCTCTTTTAAAAGAAACCCCTAACTAACAGGAGGTCCGGCATCGCCTCACACACCCGAGCGACGTGAGCTGCATTGTAACTTACCATTCTGTGGAAGGGCCCGATCCCTTGGCAGAAATTCTTTGCCAGCAGCTTGGCAGAACTTCTTTGCCAGCAGCTTGGCAGAGCTTCTGACTCAGTGCGGTGCTGCTGGACGAAGTTAGCACAGTCTGATTTGCATATCCGGAGCCAATATTAATAATTCAAAAGTTCAGAAATAATTAGTTCCGTCAAACCTCCAAGTGAACTTCCTGTGGAGCTGAGACACAAAGCAAATTGCTCCTTTCACAAATAGATTTTGAAAAGACAACTGTCGAAGTTATTTTATTCACTATCAAAGCAACAGAGAAGCGCTCGTTATTGTCATGGTTATTTGCATAGTTAACGATTAGCAATGTTTATGTTGGATGTAGAAAGGCTTCTGCTCTTTCTTCACTTTTCAAGTTGACAGTTTGTGTTAAACTCTATGTTGGGCGTATAATAACTGAACAGCTGTTATAACAATTCTGAGGGAATTATGAAACAAATTCTGGTGGAAAACCTGGATATATGCTCTGTCGGTGAACTAGCTACAGGACACTAGAGCTTCAGCTATTTCCCATTTTATTTTCTGTGATTAAAATCAAGAGACATAAAAAACACATCAGGTGGCTCGGGATTAGAGAGAGAGGCGGTGTCGAAGCAAGATAACCTCACTCAGGGGCAATTCAGGCATCGCAATCAACGCCCTGCGTGCACCTGGAAGCACGTCAAGCACGTTGCCTGCGTTTCGGATGGAAGCACACCTGGCTTTTTCTGAAGATTATATTAGATTTACATTCAGGTAAACACTCGATCTGCTTGATATGAATCGTAGGGTTTATGCTGAGAAAGTCCCTAATTGTGCAGGCAGTGGTAATTTAATCTGAATGCCGTAAAAGTTGAATGCTGAGTTAGCAGTGACAGACAGAAACCTGAAGAGAAAGTTTCTTATAGCTAGTCGTCCTGGCCAAGCACTTCCCCCATCCAGTATGTGCGAGCCCAAAACTTAGAAACTTAAAAAACCTGTTTTGTATAGGTACACACACACATATGTATATTATAGACTTAAAACTACACATATGTACGAAATATAAATGTATTTATATATGAAATGTATGGTGTTTACATGAAATAACGTCCCCATAATTTGTTGAGTTCTCATAACATGCCAGGTATTGTGCTAAGCACTGCTATGCATTGAATGTTTGCAAAAACTCCCTGGGGTTGTCATTATTTTCAAATTTTTTCTCATTTTACAGATTAGGAAACTGAGCCTCAGAGGGGTTAATTAACTTTCCCAAGGTCACAGAATCTGTAAGGAGAGGGACCTGAGTTTGAATCTGTATATTTTGATTGTAAAAGCACCTGCTCTGTTTCTTGACTGCTTACAGGATCGAAAGACAACACCTTTGCTGTACACCACAGACGGAATCGAAGTCCAAGAATTAATGACAACTGTTTTTCAGAAATGCAAATATTTTTTACTTTTAAAAGGAAGAAAGACTAAAAACATCATTTTTGTCTATAATTTTAAAAGAAAAAAAAAACAAAGCATTTGGATGATCAACACCAGGCTTAATTTTAAACGTAAATTAACACGGACCCCTCCAAACAAGCAAGGCTCACGGACATGTGTTACGTGTTCCTGCCACCACTCTGATAAGAAACAAGGGCTATCTTTGTGGAGTGGTGGGAGTTCCCCAGAGCTTCCTCTTTCTTTTCCCCACATCCTGACTACGTGTCACTCTGGACTGCTGAGAAGAAACTTGGTCCCGTACTTCTCCTTACTCTCAGTATGTGAAATCAGACCTGTGGGCTGGCAGCCTGGCTTCCTCTCAATTCCTACTTTAGCAAAAGTCCATTGCCTCAGGATGCTTTCGATGGAGAAACCAGAGTGATTCTGGGTCAGACTTCATAAAAGATCTCCAGTATTTCTGTTCTTTTCGTATGATGAGGCTTTATTCAGGTTCGCAGAAGATAGCGGCAGAGGGGCAAGGCCAGATTCAGGAGCATGGGCTGTGTGAGCGGGGCCATCTGTCCGTCACACAGGCCCTCACACCCTGGAGGACCCAGCTCTCCAGTTACTGCTCTACCCTCGCATTCTAATTGAAATTCTTAATAATATTTTAACAAGGGGCCCCTGTGTTTTCATTTAGTTCTGGGCGCTGCAAATTATCTAACAGTCTTGCCCGTGAAAGTACAAATCCCCTAGGACACGATTTCTATTCAGCGTGTCAAATTTCAATGAGGCCAAGTTTTCATTTTTTGTTTTTGTTTTTTTTTTCGGAAACCATGTGATGTGTTGACATTTCCTGCTTGAGGAGCAGTGGAAACTTGAAAGGCAGTAAAGCTTGCGGTGTAGCTGACCATCCAGGAGGTAACCGCACTCTGGTTAAGAGCACAGGACCAGGAGGCGGGCTGCTCGGTCAGCAGTTGGCTTCCCCCCCTTACCAGCTCTCGGTGGGTGTCCTTGTTCCTAAAGAAAGGATGATCAGAGTGCCCGTCTCAAGGAGTTCTTTTGTATACGGTAGAAGCACATAGTTTATGCATATCGTGTGGGGTACAAATTAATTCCTAAATAAATGTCGGCTACTATGGAAGTTTATGACAAATGAAAAGAAGACTTCTTCAGAATGATCATGTCGACCCAGTGCCATCAACGTTAGAATATTTGCAGCCCAGGGATGTCCATTTCAAATGACCTTATAAGAGCCGGCATGGTGAAAAGATTTGTGAATTCTCATTGTGGCTTTGCTTTCACTCACTGTGTGCTCTCTGAAGAGGTAACATGACGGTTTCCTCGTTTGGAAAAGGGGATAGTAAATCCTACCCCATAAACCTCAGAGTGTTCCTAGCGTCAAATGAGATAATCCAGAAAACGCAATGGGCTAGGAGTGCAGAAACAGTGCATAGAAACCAGGAGCTCCAGTCAGGAAATTGAAGAGGAAAAAGCAAAAGTGGCAAAGACAATCAAAATATTAATTAGGGGGCTGGCAACGCGGCCGAGTGGTTAAGTTTGCGTGCTCCGCTGCGGTGGCCCAGGGTTCGGATCCTGGGCGGGGACATGGCACCGCTCGTCAGGCCACGTTGAGGCGGCGTGCCACATCCCACAACTAGAAGGACCTGCAACTAAGATATACAACTATGTATGGGGGGAATTTGGGGAGAAAAAAAAAAGAGGATTGGCCACAGTTGTTAGCCCAGGTGCCAATCTTTAAAAAAAAAAATTAATTAAATCCTATGTTAGTAATAATCACTTTCACTGATGTTTTTGGAGCACTCGCTCTCCAACAGGAGAGTGTGCGCATTAATGCTTTTACTAGTCACAAGGATTTAATGCAGTGCATACTATTAATAGCCCTAATTTTCAGACGAAGACACTGAGGCTGCACCAAAATTAAATAATTGTCCACGATCACAAAGCTCGTAAATGACTGGGCTATAGTTTGAAGGCCAGGAGTCTGTTTGACTCCTGAACCCAAGCCTCGGATTGCTCTGTCTCTCTCATGGTAAAGAAGGAACTATTAGGTCAAAACATAAAACGACTGATACTGGGTAAACTTTGAGTTTAAATATGGCAATTTTATGTGTTTTGATCTAATAAAAATAACTTTAAAACCGGCACTAAGTTTAATTATTGCTTATCAACTTTAGTATTGGTTATCAACTTTAATTATTTAAATCTGCCAACTAAATAGAACAGAAGATTTCACACACTGAAAATAAAGAAGTGAAGTGTTTATAGGAAGGCTCTACCAGCAACATCCCTGGGCAAATTTAGAAGATGCGTTTTCTTCAACAGCACAAACAAGTCTGTGTGGAAAACAAGCTGGTCTGAGGGTCGCCCGGATCTTTAAGGAATCTCCAGCAGAGAAGGAGGACAGTGAATTTAATTCAAGGAATTTCTCCTAAACCCTTAGGGGTGGTAATAATAATAACGTGACCCCAAAGAGGTTGAAATGGATCAGGAAGATTATTGAGGGGGATATTTTAGTGTTGCTGTGCTGGGTGGACATACCCGAGGCTACATGGTTACTTCCTTATCCAAATAAATGTTTTTTTAAAATTTTTTGCTGAGAAAGATTTGCACTGAGCTAGCATCTGTGTCAGTCTTCCGCTACTTTGTAGGTGGGTCACTGCCACAGCATGGCTGCCACCAAGTGGTGTACGTCCGTGTCCTGGAACCAAACCCCAGGCTGCTGAAGTAGAATGCGCTGAACTTAACCACTAGGCCACCAGGCTGGCCCCGCAAAGAATGGTTTTAAGTAGAAAAAGGAAATGAAGACAACAGCAAATGATAAAACATAATAGAGGGTATAAGTGGATTGTCTCTGAGCTCTTCCACACTGTAGAGACTACAGTCCACTGACCAGATCTGCTTTAGCACGGGAAATTCTGCACTAAAGATGGGCGTTCAAGCCAAGGCAGTGCAGGCTGTGCCCTCTTTGTATAAAGATCCTTGTGATGCGAGAGTCACAATAGTGAGGCAGATTTCTACGCTTGCTTCCTCTTCTCTTGTCCATAATTGAGAGAAATGTGTCATGTTTATTATTTTTTGGCGTATCTCAAAGGAGTTGTTTTCTGATGAACTAAGATATGTTACTTGTTAAAAGTGTCTGGCTACAGCTGAAAAGATTCTAAGTTCTTTGAAATACTAATAGTTAATCTAAAAATACAGCAAACTCACCCTTTAATTTTCAGCTTATATTCAAATTCCAAAAGCTAAATGATTTTTTAATGATATACAGCAAACCTCAATCACAGGTGTTTCTGTACAAAAATAATGTTGTCTTGTCTCCCTGATATGAAATTCAAACATGTGTGTGAAATATGGAGACAATTTTCATTCTTAACAGTCATTGTCCAAGGCATAGCCTTTTTTTTTTTTGAGGAAGATTAGCCCTGAGCTAACATCTGCCGGCAATCCTCCTCTTTTTGCTGAGGAAGACTGGCCCTGAGCTAACATCCATGCCCATCTTCCTCTACTTTATATGTGGGACGCCTACCACAGCATGGTGTGCCAAGCAGTGCCACGTCCGCACCTGTGTTCCGAACTGGCGAACCCCGGGTCACCAAAGTGGAACGTGGGCACTTAACCGCTGTGCCACCATGCCGGCCCCAGCATAGCCTTTTCAGTTAAAAAAAAAGTTTGCCTGAAATATTGAAACAATTTATTCATTTGTTAATTGACAATCCAACTCCTCAGTCTTTTCTGGTCACACTTATCATATTTTGTACAAATTTACTTGATTCTTGGAATATTTTGCATTATTTATGAAAACAAAACAAAATGCAGCTTGTTGATGGTTTTGA